GATGGAATTGTTGACCAGATAAGCAGTATTGCTTTGTGGAAAACAAGGGAAATTCTAAAGGTGGAAAGTTCAGAGAATATACTGCATGAAGAAAAACTTCCTATCCTAGTTTTATGAACATCTGCTGTGTTGCATTTGTAACACAAGGACAAGCAAAATCACTGGTCAACTTACTTTTCCAGAAAAGGAGCGTTTTGCTTCCAATATATTATTAAAATGTGCCAATTGCTCAATATAGCATTGCACATTAACAATTTGTGCAGGTTCCAGAGACAGATGTGATTGGCTCTGATCTGGCATCTCATTTACAGTCGCTCTCTCACAGATGTGCCTTCGCTTCCCTCTGTATTTTCTACAAATACTTTCATAGTAACTGCTCCAACAAGCTACTTTCACTGATTCCCAAACTGCATGAATTTAAATGTGCTACTAGGTTGGTATCTCAGTCACACTCTTTCACTGTCGAAATGGTTAAATGAAATTTAACAGTCTCTTCTACTCCAATAGCTTCATGTCTCACACTTTCCGTCTGTGGAACTCCCTTCCTCTTACTTGCTTCCCTCATGGATATAATCTCCAAATATTCAAATGAAATGTTTCATCACTGGTGACTATCTACAGTGTAACCCGGATATAAGAGAGTTGTCGGGACCGGAGAAGAAGTCTCTTATATCCGGGTTTGGTCTATTTTGTTTAGGTAACACAGGCTCTAATTTGGGACCAGAGAAAATCTCTCTTATATCCGGGTTTCTCTTATATCCGGGGCTGAACTTTTCACTTTTCCTATGCCAGACAAGAAGAGAAAGAGAAGTGTTTAAACATTGACTAATGTTCTTTTCCATAAGTTTATGAGGAATCCAATTTGTCAATTTTCAAGTTTGGTGGTCTTTCAGAGCCGTCCATTAAGCTCAAAATCTTTTCTTTCTTTTTTTTTTTTTTAAATTCACAAACGATTTTCGATACATCACCGACTGCGTCAGCTGCATTTTCCCCAGTTTAAACATGAGGAAACAATATTGAATGTGCATTTTATATTCAAACAAAATAAAATTATTACTTGAATATTGACTATTCTTAAAGAGTAAACGTATAAAAGCAATAAATAGCTACGGAAACTTCTTAGATTTCCCTAATGAGCGAAATATGGCGCTGAAAACAATGCTATTTGTTATTGCGAACAGGAAATGGGAAACGTAGCCAAGGGAGGTAATTCCGTAATTTCCTTTCTGGTTACTTTTTCTTGAATCAAATGTTCAAAAAATCCGAAGAAAGTAAGTATCTTACCATGCTTTTACTAACATTTCGAAATAATATTTTACATTACGGTCTTATTTTAAGGAAATTAAATATATAAGACATTATATATAAGTTTTACAAAATTTACTTATTCACTCTGCTTAATTCGCCGTTTTCTTGTTAAAGCTAAAAAAAAAATTCATTTATTAACAATTTTTTTCATTTTAAATTTGCAGTTAAATTTGAAATTATTTGCAAAGTTAAGCTTTTCATTCAATGAAAAAATAAAGATTGGACATCTTTAAATAAAAAAAAACATGTAAGAAACAAAACCAACATTTTTGTTTTGAGCATTTTTTTTTAACAAATTGGATTTTATTTTTATCAATTAAAAAAGGAAACTAATTAAGTAGACTTGAGAGACCATAAAGTACACATTTTTTTAACTGATTGTTTTTTATTGCTACATTTTGGATGATAACGATATTTGATTTTCCTCAGGTTATGCCTCTCTAGTCTAATAATTAGTGGTCATTAAAAGAAAAGTCGTTTAGTTAGTATGTTTTTCTTATTTTGTTTTTCATCTATTCTCTGTGAACAGCGCTGTGTAACATTTTTCGTAAAGATCAATCAGGTAAAGACTAAAGAATTTCGATTTCTAAAGAAAAACTCTTGCTTGAAAATCAACCAAAAAAAAACAAAAAAAACGTTGCAATAAAACAACTATGAAGATAACAATCTGAAAAATATGTTTTGTTTGGTAAATAAGCACTTCGTTATTTCTGATTTTAAAAACTTAGATGACGGGCAGCTACTAGAAACAAACAGTAACAATTTATTGACTAATTAGTGTTAAAAAAAGTAATGTATTTATTTCTTTTTTTAAGACATGGCTTTATTGAATTCAACACAGAAATGTTTCTTTTTCATTTCATCAGCTTCCTACGTTTGTGCATTTAATATTCTTAGAAGTTTTTTTTTTTCTTAATTATCTTTCTTTGTTTCACAAAAGTTCAATCAAGTGTGTTTTCAAAATAATTTTTTTACGATGTAACGAACTTAATAAATTCTTTTTACTATTTCTAAAATAAAAATTGCTTTATGTAGTTACCTACCTTGTTGGTGAGGTGCTTGTATTTCTTCTCTTTCCATGACGTATTAACAACAACTTGGTATGGTTTATATACCGCTACTGGTTGGTAGGAAACAAGATATTCCAGATCGTAAACCCCCAGTAAATATCAAATACCAACAAGTACAACTGTATTCTGCTAAGAGAAGCCAATGTAAATACGTCATCCACAACAAAGCAAAGTAAGAAGATAACAATTTTTGTTATGATGTCTTACACTGTTTTACAAAACTTTTTTTTCTTTCTAAACTTAAACTAAACATTAATGGAAGAATATTAATATACAAAAATAACAAATTCACAGAGAAAATAATTGTGTAAGATTTTACAGAAAATAGGTATCGAAAATAGCGTGCTTAATACAGTTTTTTTGCTACATAGACCTTAGGTCGATGTAGCAAATTGACCCAAACATTTCAGTTTCACCATACATGCTGCTGCATAAAGTCATACTCCCCACTATAACGTAATTAAATTTTAACTATTATTTAAAACATATACCTTATGTCATGGTAGGTTTATATGTTGCAATATAAGAATGAAGAAATTTATGCAATTTTGTCATAAAAATTACTTTCAGTTTTTTACTCCAAAAAATTACTCCACATTGGTACACCTCATTAGGCAAAAAAAAAAAATCTATTCCTGGATCTTCAAGCAAACAGCAACTACTTAAATTTAGATCTCTGTTGTATTGTCTATTTTTTTTTATTCTTATATTAATTAAATTAATCAATAAACATCCTTTTTCTTAATGTTTAATAAGGAAATTATTTTCTATTATGAGAAATAAGTTTTGTTATGATCATGGTAAAAATGTTTTTAACAACTCTAACAATTTTGCAAATGTTTGTATAAACAAGTGTTTAGTTCATAACATCAAGCTTTTTTATGTAGAATTTTTATGTTGTTATTATTGTTATCTCAACATTTTGGTCAGTACTTTCTCTAGTCTCCTTTAAGTGTTGTACACTCCATTAGTAAAGAGAAGTGGATCTTTCATTTTTTTTTCTTTCTAAAAACAAACTTTCAGATTGAGTTTAACTGACAAGAAGAAAGGGTTTCTACTTTTCTCTGTTATTTCTAACATCTATGTGTTTTTTGTTTGTTTTTATTTTTGATCTTACCTTGCTTTCCACTTTTGTCTTAGGAACATGGATGACATTTATACTCTTTTCTATCTCCTCAGGTAAAGAATTTGTTAGATCATATGACCTCAACTCATACAGTTCATGATAGAAAAGGAGAATAACACATTTTTCAAAGTGTAACATACAATTTGTGTGTATAAAAGAAAATAGGTATAGCACTACATTTAAATTTTGATTCAAATCATGTCTTTTGTACTAAGAAAGGTTTTTTTCATTAGGCAATAGTCATTAACTGTCATCCAGGAAAATTTATAAAAAATTTTTATTAGTGTAAAATAATTAAAGTTAACAATTAATTAAATAGTATAAACAAATATAATTTTCTAGGTTTGTCTATTATATGTACATGTTAGAGAAGTTGCATTTTAAATAAAGCCAGATGGCTTATAAAATATTGTTACATTTGTCTGTGAAAATTTCTATTTTTAGAATTAGTGGTTAAAGAACTGCCATAATTATTTCTGTCTAAGTGGATTGTTGCAGATTAATTTTTTGAATTTGAAAAAATATGTATTATTTTATTTAGTGTCCAATTAAAGTGTGGATTTATGCCTTCATAAAATTTGAAGTTAAGGTCTGGTTGGAGACTGACCAGCAGATAAGGATAGAATGTAATAAGATTTCAAGGCAGAAATAAATGTCAAAGCAGAATGGAGTGATAAGTCACACAAGGGGAACAGTCTGTTGACTGCAGAAGAAGGTTTAAAATCTAACAAGAATCAAATATTTCAATGAACTGACACAAAACTTTAAATCCAGAAGGCAGAATAAGGCTGATTTCTCTGAGAGAAATTTGTAAAGGAACAGAAATCTGTTATCAGAACCTTTCTATAAAAGAAAAACTATTTAAAATCCCTGTGACATCAGTATTTCGAAATTATTTAAATTGTGACATTTTTTTTGTCTTACTATTAAGTGGGTAAAGTGCACCTGTTTGTATTTTCTGCCTTATCCAAAATTTGCTTTACCTTTTCAAAGTTTTATCATTTCAAAAATTATCTTGAAATATTTTTCTTTAAATCATATGTATATTGCTTAATACATTATCTTGCTTTATTTTTTTTTAAATAAGGCACACAAAAGGAAATTTTTGTGCAATCCCATTTTGTAAAATATTGTATTTGTTTTATTGTAATAAATGATTGTTCTTTTAAATTTCATGTAGTAGTTGTGTCTTGGTTGGTTGTGCCTTTTTTAACATTCAGTATAAGAGATGTGCTCTCTTTTCTCACTCCATCCCAACAAAAACAAATTCTTATATTTTGCACAAAAATAAGTTTATGTAGCAAAAATTGCCTTATAAACTGAGTTAAGAATTAAGGAATATAATTAGTACTCTAAACAACTAACCACCTTGATTTATTTCTAAGGTGAGAAAATAGTAGGATGAAACTCAGAGATGACATCTATATAGCTACTAGAAATATGCCATATATAAGAAGAGATGCTGAATGAATCCTAAAACATTTATGGATATTACAATAATGGTTTTCAATAACAAACACTCTTCAAAATCACCTTATAAGATCTGGGTGTTGACAAAAGTCTGTATTTATAGCATCTCATGCAAATATTGTAAATAAAACAAAAGAGAATCCAGCTAGTCTCATTAAAGTCAAACACAAAGATAATAAGAAAGCCATATACAAAGAAAGAATTAAAAAAATCTGCTATAGTAAACTGTATAAAGAGAGAAAAAATGAGAACCAATTAATAGAGAGAGACCATCACTGGAAGGTGAGACAATTGAAAGAAACAACCTAAATTATACTGTTAAGTTTTTAAGTCATGTCAATATGGGTTTAAGTATTGTGTGTGGTTTGCTTTAATCAACAGAAAGGGAATTGGGAAGTGTTAAACAGGGTTGCTAAGAATGATATTGTCTGTGTGTTTCATTTTATTGGGAATGAGCTAAGCTAAAAAGTGCATTAGCCTCCATTTCCATAAAAGGAGACATCACTCTTTTTTTACAAATTGTATATATATGCAAAAACTGTAAAACCAACCAATATGTGGTAACAACAAAAGTAACAGACTTTTATAGTCCAGACAATTCTTGAAATAGAGTGGACTTTAATCTTATCCTTTGAATAAGTTGTTGATGTTTGAATGTTTGGAAAATTAGAATATCAGCTTAAGCCCATCATTCTTCTTTATTTTTTTTTTAGATTTTATTTTATTTATTTGAAAATCATTAATACAAATAATTTTTTTTTATCATAATTTGCAAAATTGTAAATTCAAATAAAAACTTCTAAAAGTTGAACCTTTTTTATCTTCTGATTAAAGTTAGTTGGAGAGGGGTAACATTTTAATTTTTATTTAAATTCAAGAAAAAATATTATGTATTTATAGACTTGCTAAATTACAAAAAATAATTGTGGTATCATCAACTTATATACATATGCAGTTGATTGTTTTGTGAAGATTCTGAAGAATTATTGCTGAGAAAAATCAATTCCTCATAGTGGGTCAACTACAAACAACTTTTTTCTTTCTTTTTTGTTAGTTGAAGAAACCAGAATTTGAGTAAACATCTTTGCATTTATAATATATGTTTAATTTTCACTTTTCCAATACCTAAAAGACTTCCACTGAATACAATGGCTCCTGATCCAGTAGCTCAAGAATATTATTACCGAAAATGGAAAAGAATGAAAAAAATGATTAAAGATACAATGTTTGTAAGTACATGGATATTGTATAAGCTTTTTGTTTTAATTTTATTTACTAATTCTTTAGTAATCAAATATATTTTGATGTAAAACTTTTTCATGATAGCTTATTGCATCTGCAACCTGCACTAGTTTAACACCTTAATAGCAATGATAGCACAAGTCTTTTAATTTTTAAAGCCACATTAATGGAATTGATTCCATATGATACAATCTAATTGTTTTTGTACTTGTTACCTTTTAGTTTGTTTATTATACACACACGCATGAGGGGGTGCTGAGGACTTTCTTGCACCTCTTATATAATACTAGTCTTAAACATTTTCATATAATAAAAATAAATATCAAGTATTCAGTTTTTAGTTTTGTATTTAAAAGTAACATTTCACATTTTGTGAAGAAATTGCTCCATTTTTTAACAACTGAAAATTTAACAATAATATATTTAATGTTGGCAAATCTATTCCTTTTCTATCTATGAAGATTTAATTTTTATTGCTAACCTAAAGTTTTTTGATTTTTCTCTGATGGCAAAAGTATAATAATAATAATATCAAAATAGTATATTTTGACATCTATTCAAGTTAACAAATTCATTATTGCATTATTTGGATTAGTGTTTATCATCTTGGTTATAACCACAACATTCCAATCATTGTGCCCTGTAGTTTTCTTCAAGTCTGTCATATTGTTAAAATTCTGCTGGTCTTAAGTTCTATCTCCAGATCAAGTCTGAAAGTGTTTCAGTGGAAAAGCAAAATCAGCATCACAAGGACAAACTAATTAAGAAGAATTCACTGATGCAAAATATCTTTAGCATAGACAATTGAATGAAAACAGTCTACTCACATGGATTAAATAGAGGATTTAATTTGAAATTTCCAGAAGATAAATGAATACAGCAGACACCTGAAGATGACTAGAGGGTACATTGACCAAAACATTGTGACTATAATAACCAATATGTGGACAATAAATGAATTGTATATTGCAGAAATTAACAAATTCTCTATTTAGAACTTCAAAAGATTTTATTCTTTTGTCCATTTTTATCTCTGCAGGTAAATGCTGCAATCTGTGATGAAGTTGTACGGGTTGAAGAAAAAGTGGTTAAAGTTAAAGAAGAACGCAGGTAAGTGCATCCAAATTTATTCCTGGCATGAAGAATTTAAAATAGGTATCCAATTTTCTTTTATTTTAATCTTAATCTCTAATTACTTAATCACCCAATTTTAAAAGACATCACTTTCAGTTTATTTTCATTTATGTTTTTTTTAACTTGTGAAATTTTTTATTTGAACATTTTTAGAACATTTAAATATTGATCTGCAAATTAAAAATTATCTTTTCTGTTGCAATCTTTCACAATCAGGAAAATGTTCTAAAATTTAATTAGAAATTAAATATTAATTAAAATAAACATTAAAATGTTTTTCCCTCTAGTAAAATTGTTAGAATTACCCTGAAAAGAGGATGTTATTAATTTCCCCTTAAACTTAAATGTTTATGTACTCACTGATCAGTCTTGACAGATTTAATTATTTCCTCATTAGCAGAAAAATTCTCTGTACTAGCATTTTTCATGCTACTTAATCGATTACATTATAATAGCATTTTGAATATCTTCACTCATTCTTGTAAAATTCCTCTGTAACCACATGTAAACAAAAATCTCATTTATATATATATGCTGTGTGGTTCTATATTGTTTCTTTTATATTCATAAATTAAGCAAAATTATGTAGGTGTGTAATTGTTAATTATGCATATTTTTGCTCATTAATGAATCAGAGACAATATTTAGATATTTGTATATAGATTCATTCAACCATATATGTACTGTTTTGTTCCACTATCTTTTGCCATCTTTGAGGCAGCTTCATGATTCCATCATCCCAGAGCTTGGAATCTTTCAGGTAATGAATTGGTCTAAGTGCTTTTATTGGCTTCCAAAGAATTAAAGTTCTTCCCATTAAGAGATTTTGTAGGGATCAATGTAAGTGGTAACCTGAAAGTACACTGATCACATGAGTATGGCATGTGTAGTAAGACATCCCAGCCAAACTGTACCAATTTCTGCCAGGTCTTCAAAAAGACATGGGCTCTGTTATTGTCCTCATGGAAGACAACGCTCTTCTAGTTGACCAATTCCAGTTCTTTTTTGGCAATTACTACCATTAATCAGTTCAATCTTACCAGATACACAGTATCACCTTCAGATGCTTTTCTCTTTACATTGTTGTAAAGTGAAAAGGAAAAACTATTGTAATGTAATCCATTTTTCATTGCCTGTGCTCATTTTTTTTAAAAATGGGTAAATGAATCCAGTATTGAGAGTGATCAGGAAGACCACCAGAGATATGAAAGTGAAGAACAGGAAAGAATGAGTGTATCCAGTAGTAATGAGGAACAATCTGAGGATGTGAGCGACCGGAGATATCATGTGGATTCAAATGAGGAGAATTAGTTAAGCCCTAGATCTCCTATAAAGAAACTCAGTTTGAGAGATGGATTATGTCTCCCAGAGTTGTCAAAGATCAACTAAAGGAATAAAGCATTTTAGGTTCAGGGAGGTGTAATGATATGTAACCGAGGTACTGTATAAAAGGCAGTATTGTTATACCTACAGGAGAGTTATCTACCCTTGACAAAACTACATCTGTCAGAGGGAATACTTAACATAACCCATTTTCGTGGTAAATATCTGTTATAGAAATTGGTTAATCCTAAAAAAAGATTCTAACTCTTTTTTATTTCTGGGTGCAGCTATTTCTGATATCTTATTAATTAGTTTATCATCTAGTGATATACCTTCTTTGGATATTTAATATCTTAGGTACAAAATCTTTTCACAATTAAACTCATATTTATCACGATTGTCATACTCGTGCTATTCACATTTCTCAAAACTTGCTCTATTTTACTATTGAGCTCTTCTTTACTGTGTGCACAATGCCAATGTCGTCCTGATATACAATTATATTTTTAATCCCCTCTAAAACATTTTCGATGGCTTTTTGGAAAATGTGACTTGACATTTTTACTCCAAATGACAGACGAATCCATCTTTTTCATTCAATAGAGGTGTTCATTGTGGTGACTTCTTGAAACTTGCTATCAATTTTTATCTGACTATATGCTGACTTAAGGTCAATTTTAGTAAAGTATTTCAAACCAGCAAACTCATGGCATGCTGTTTCAATATTTGGCAATGGACATGAATCTGAACATATCTGGTGATTCGTGCCCACTTTATAATTGCCACAAATTCTTAACTCCCCACTCAACAATGAGTGATACCCAAATGCTACTACTCTGGCTAACTTTTTCTAATATTCCTTGTTCCACCATTTTGTTCAGCTGAGCAACCATCAAGGATAGCATGTGAACAAGAATATTTCAGGCTTAAAAATACATGGGAACTGCTTTCTTTAAGCTGAGTACTCACCTCATATTCCCTTAATAATCAAACATCCAGTTCTAAATGTAATTTATCAGCTTCAATGTATCCACCCTTAACATGTCAACTCCTAAAAGACTGTGGCTTTTGATGTTTTCTACCAGTATGATGGGTATTATAGTGAATCTATTTTTTGTCTCAAACATGCCTTCAAACCATCCTAAAATTTTGATGATTGACCCATTGAACTGTTTCAACTGGAGATTGTTTTTCCTTAACCCATTCTTTCCCCAAAATTCCTTGGTATCAACGTAACATCACTTCTAGTATTCACCTGCATAAGTAAAATTACTCCAATCAACTTCATTATATCCCTACTTTTATCTTGTGCTTTTATCTCAAATACTTCTGTACTTTCAGTCAGAGGATTTTTATTTTCCACTTGCTTTTCATATGTGCATACAAGCTGGAAAGGATTCCTTCTTTTTTTTTTAAACACTTAAAACACCAAAAGGTCAGGCACTTATTTTTGCTCTTTTCATATTCCTTATTGAAATATCTGCATACAAGGAAGCTTTTGGTAGCACTGTAAGTCTTCATGATGCCTTTGGAGGCTTTAAATTTTTGAATCAATTCCATTTGTTTTAAGAACTCCACACATGCTTCCAGATTCATATTATGAGCTTGAAGCCACTCTAGAATTTTACACTTGTATGAGATTTCTTTTATCAGTCAAAATTAGCTCATCTTCGATAGACATTTGTTCCAAACCAATTGTTTCAAACTCACAATATCCCAACACTTCTTTCAATCGCTGTACATAATAGTTTCGTCTCTGTCTACTGTTGAGAAATTTAATTCTTTTCACTATGACCAATCTTTATTTGGTCATATATTTGCTTTTATGATATCAGCAATTTCTTCATATGCTAAATCTTCCAACACTTTGGAATAAATCCTGATGGGGATTTTTTTTATGGCCTCACACCCGGCTGAGGCCAAAAACAAATCCATAACTTAATTTTCTTCTCCACTAGCTTTGATGTCCTTTAACATTTTTAATCTCGCTGACACTGTGAAACACCTAAGCTAGGTTTCCCCATACTCAGGATCCTCCATCATGGTTAAGTAACGAATTGGCAATACCATAGTTATGTTAGATATTCTCTATGACAGATGTAGTCTTGTGAAGAGAAGATAACTCCTGTAGGTATAACGATACTGCCTTTTATACAGTACCTCATTTACATATCACTACATGGGTCATTTTTGTTTGAGTAGAGAATTACAGGTGGAAATGCAGACCATTAAATTTTTGTTAAATTGTGGGATATCCAAACATAGTGAGTCACATATCACCAGGTGCTTTACAAAAAGCCCATATGATATATATGGAATATCTCATGTTGTGTGACCTGTGGATTATTTTTAATCAACATTTTGATTTGGTCATCATCATTGACTGTAGGCCTCTCATTCTTCCAGATCAAAATTTCCACTTCTGAAACTAGCAAGACATTTACAAACAATACTCTTCAGCTATAGCACCATCTTCATAAAGGCCACTACCATTTTTGCTATTTGTACAGTGTTTTTTTTTTTTTTTACTGACTAGGTAATGATTTTATTTTGAATAGTTCCCTCAGTAATCAATTTAAAAAATGCAAATTATCGAAAGAATTATAGTATAAAAAATGTGGTTAATTACTTTCAGTAATTTATGAAAAGCCTGCACACAAGTATTATTATATATTAGTGAAAACAAAATTTAGTTATTTAATTTTATGCTTAATAATTTTACTATTATTTTTCTGTTAATAAGAAATAAAATTAGATTTATCACTTATTATCCTTGATAATGATGAGTTCTGTTATTTTAGATCTTACTATTAATATAAATTCACTTTCATATATTTAGGTTTTATTACAATTCTAATCATCACTTTTTAAAACAATAAACATTGCTGAGGAGCAAAGGTAGTTGATAGAAAAACTTTTAACACTCCTTTTTTCTGTGGACATGAAGGTACAAATTTGCATAATTTTTTTTTTCATCAGCAGAACAAAACATTTAAATGCAACTCTATTGTGAATTCAGATTAAGTTTTCAGATGATTTTGTAAGTAATTTCATTTATACCCATTTTTATCTTGTATGAATTTTTAAACGTTTTGTAACCTCTTTCTTAAAAAATGCAGTTTTATAAAAACAATTATTTTAAATTCTTGAAGTAACATCTATACAGAAAACTGATGCAGACATAAGTATCAATTATATGTAAGAGTCATTTTAATATACTTATTGAGGATTTTTATATTTTGCTTATATTCACATCAATATATTTATCTAATTTTATGTAAATTTGATGTCAGTAATATTAATTTTATTTTGTTTTTCTTTCTTTCAGTTTCATAAAAGAATCTGCTCTTGTCTTAAATAACATGTATTTTGCAACAATTTGATTTTGATTTCAGATTTTTGCTACGAAAGATTCTCCAGTTCCAATCAAATAGTGACCCATCTTTGGCCGGACTGAAGATTCCTGGTGTCGGGCATAATACTACAGCTCTCAAAGTGATGCCAACTCTAACGCCTGTCCCCCAGGAACCTCCAGAGCCTGTCCCTACTACCACAACAGCAGTAACCAAACCTAAAATCAAAAAGAAAGTTACAGAAAGAAGGAAAACTGTAACAGAACTTTTAGGTTTGTTAAGTTTAGATTTTTATTTCGATCTTTTAAATTAATATTCTGATTTTTAATGAGTTTATTTTTCAATCCTTTCACATGACTAATGATTAATTCAGCTGGTCATGTTATGTCTGTCTGAATTAAGAAAAACATCAATGAAACAAATTTAGGCTCATATATAAATAATATCCAATTACATGGAATTTGTAAGATTTTTGAGAGGGTATCAGGTTTGTCTAATAAAATTCAGTATATTAATATAAACTTTTATAAACATTAAAAATTAATAATCCATCAAAATTTGAAGTCATTTGCCTTTAACAAAGAAGCCTCTTGACTAGATTTAAAAGTATAAAATATATAAAATCTTTAACAGATAAGAAATCTTTAAAATATAGTCATTATAATCATATGACTATATTTATTCCAATTTTTGTATTTTATTATATTTACAATATTTTTATTATACTGAAAAATAATATAAGTAAAGAAATGAAAATAGTGTCTGCCATGGAAGTTTGAAGGAATCAAAAATTCTGTTACATGAACAAGTTAATATAAATTGCTGAACGTCATAACTAAATACCTTTTATAAATATCTTCTCATTTACCTCTGGAGTGAGATTTTTCTTCAGACATAATTTAATCTACTAGCAAAGTTAAATTTATATACTGTAAAAAGTTCTTTTTTAAAAACTTCTTTTTTAGAAATTTTAGAAGTTTAATTTGTATATACAGAGATTCTCTGTGTTTGATATTAAAACCATTGTAAACCCAGTTTTTGTGCATATATGCAATCTGCACAAATTTATGTCAATAGAAATGAAACTGAGCCATACAATTCAAACAACATTAAAAACATTCAACAATAGCAATGTAGATTATTCTCAGTTTTTTGTCTTTTTGAAAACAAAAAAAAACTTCATTAAAAAATACAATTGACTTACTTCATTTACTTTACCAAAGAATAACTTGGAACTGGGGGAAATTATACCTGAATGTAGCTCAATCATGTACCACTACACTGTATCAGATTTTGTTATGTAAGTCAATGTTTTTATAATAAAATTAGTATTAAACAACTGATGTTGGTAATATTTTCAGGATATATTTACATGAACAATATATTATGAGACTTTCAGCTTTATTAAAAATACTAGCCAAATTACCTGCACCTTGCTGCATGTCACACAATTTTTTTGTAAGAAAATGATGATTGATTTGAAATCATTGTTATAATTTGTGGCAAAAAACAATGCATTTCAGTATTACTCAGAGATCTTGCTGATGTGACCTCCATCTTCTGGCTTTCTCCTGTATTTTGGATAGGAATCATTTCCATGCTCAAATTTAAATTAAATCAAAGGGAAAAAAATTTCAGTGGGGGGTTCGTGCAAAAACAACTTGATCTGACCCATCTGATTAGTATTTGATGCAATACTTGATTGAATGAAGTGATGAATAGATTTCAACATTGATATGACAATTGAATTGTTGCAACAAATATGTATTGTAAGGCAATACCAACTGATTGGTGATTTAATTTGATGTCCAAATTGTCTCATTTTGATCTTGCCAATGTGACATCCATCTTCTGGCTTTCTTCTTTTATATTTTGGATAGGGTTGTGCCCTCTGGTTACCCCCTTTGATCAAAATGAAATATACTTATCCAAATACCCTGGATAATGTAGTTTCAGAATATATATGGTTATAGGTGGAGGGTCTATCTCCAAAACCTTTGGAGGAGTTCAATAACAAACAGACAAAGGCTACAACATTTTATTTATATATATATATGAGAGAGAGAGATTAGCAATACCTATGGAAATTCTAGTTATTTTGAAAGCTAAAATTGTTGGTAGTTCATAGAGAACTATAAGATCATACGTAGTACTGAAGAGGTAGTTTATCTGGGGACATCTCTGAAAGCTTTGACATTTTTCAATCTCTTGTGATCCTCTTCTTGGCTGTTTTCAATTCTTACATGTTTATAAAATTCCCAATTTAGAAATGTATTTATTAAATAACAAAAAATAATTATTTTTAATTTTTTCTTTGTCTGACCACTCCTCCCTTTTTCTTTACCCTAGTGCCAATCCAAAATGTCTGTGGACATGAAGAGTCCATTTCTCTTTCTTCCCACTCTCTTATTAAACTACCAAACCTTTCACTTTGTTCAAGTTTTACATCTCACAAAAGCATCTGACAAAAAAGAAATAAGTACAGTATGTATCTTTATTATTTGAAGATTTTTTTTTTCATATTGCAAAATAATTATTAAACATATTGATTTATTAGAATAAAAATGAAGTTTGTTTTATTTAAAATTTTTAACAACTTTACTGGGGTGGAATCTGAGTGAAATTGTCCAAAAACTGACTTATTTGATTAATTCAAACTATTGTTCTCATCAGAATTATTATAGACACAACATTTTTGCCAAGTACATTCTGGAGATCCTCAGGTGTCCATTATTTTGACTGATGTGTGATATCTTACATGTGTTGATTATGTTATTTTTGTTCCTGTAAAGCCATTTCTTATTTCTTCCCATGGAATCAGAGAATATTATTTCCTACCTTATCCAGGGATTGAATTAATGATCATAAGATCACAGCAACATTTGATTTAGTAAAAATTATCTAAAACAAAATTATTAGACAATAGTACAAACCTGCCATGATGACCAAAATATATTGAAACCGTCTGATATTTGATCTCAAGGCTCCAAAAACAATTTACAGAATAAAATTTTTCATCACTAAATAAAGCATTTTAAATATTTCTAATAATGACAGTCATTATAAGCTGAAATTTACATAGTATATTTATCGTATAAACTGAAGTATAGTTTGAAAGTTTTACCAACATCAGCTGATTAATACCAATTTTATTGTTGAGACATTGACTTGAATAATAAAATCTAACCAAGTGTATAATTGCATGTTTAAAAACACCTTTCCTCATTTTTTAATTTCAGAAGAAAAATCCAAACCCAAAAAGTCTAAAACTCAAGCTAGTAGCAAGAAAACTGTTCCTCCTATACCACTCGATAATCTTGGAAGACCAGTTTTTCCTCTCTCCATTGGAGACCTCACAATACACAGTCTAGGAGAAGTGAGTTCTTATAACATAAATATTTTTACAAAAATATAAATTTTAGGAATTGCAGGCTTTGGATATACTATAATAATAGTAATTTGGTTGAATAATAGAAAAATAATGCTCAGAATTTGAATATAGTTATTCAAATGAAATAATTTGAAAATAAAATGTTTGAAATATTCTCGTTTGTAAATTTAGTATCCATCATACAAAGAATGTTCCGAAAGTAATACCTCTGATTTGTTTCAACAAAAGCTAGAACAGATACGGGAAACACAACTACACTGTTGACTAGAACAAGTTTTCAACTACTGCTATTTTCCACATAGTTACCACCATTGACTGTGTTTTCACCAGTAATAAGAACTTACATACTCATAAAAATATGACCCAACTGAGGTGATCCACTTTTTGGCAATGTGATTTGTTACACATATCACTGTCAACACTGGAAATTAACCCTGATTTTTCTCAGATCCACTGCAAATATCCATGAATGTCAATGTGTGCAATTTTTTTTCTGCATGAAAAACTCCAATTGCACATTTCTGCATCATAGCACCTTCATGATAGAAGACATTTTGCCTGACTGCCACTCAGCTGTTATCTGTAACAAGACAAAAAAACATTTAAGGGTTATTGGCAAAGTTTAACCCCTACTGCCATACAACCAACATCCACTTCTGACATTGTGAACCAACATAATAAAATATATATATATATATATATATATATATATATATATACATACAATATTACTTTCAAAGCAACCTAAAAATACTGTTTTATTTGCAATTATTCACTCTCATAGGTATCTTGATAGTTTTCATGGCACTATTTTAAAAATTCTGTTTATGGCTTTTGGGCTCACTTTTCTATTTGCAAAGAATCCCTTGTAAATCATTTCTTACCATTCTGCAAATTTGGGGTAAATTTGTACCAGTTAAATTAAATTCTGCAAAAGTTATAAACAGTTTATCTATTTAATTATTTAGTTAATTTTATCATTTAGAATGGAATGTTGATATGGACTTCACTTATTAAACCATGCAACAGTTTTATTTTTTTTTTTCTTCTTCCATTAATGCCTAAATTGTGAAAAGCTTGATATGGCAATTTTAGCTTATTAGGTTAATTTTATTACATTGTAGCTTTGGATAATTTGCTTAAATAAAAATTCACTATAGTTACTTAAGGCTTACAGCCATATTACGTTGAAACACCAGTTCTCATATGATCACAGAAGTTAAGCAACATCGAGTCCAGATAGGTGACCACTTGGGAATACCAAGTGCTGTAAGCTTGGATGTGCAGGTGGTGTAATGAATATTGACTCAGAATTGGAAATCAGGGAACCAAGTTCCAATTCCAGTCATATTCATTGTATTCACTTATGCACGAATACCCTTGGGAAAAGATACGAATCCACCTCTTCTCCCCCTCAGCTATGGATTAATTAGTAGGACTTGTATCATTAAATCATTATTATCTCAAAAAAATTCTTCCAATATAAGAATATTTTCTGGCTTTAAATAACCTGTAAAAGGTTAAGCCATAAAGAGCAATCACAGTTACTTGAATGATCTAAAGATTAGAAACAGTATCTTAGGAATAAGTACACTTAAGTATACTAACAACACTTAGGTATACTAACATGTTTGCATCAATTTTTATGTTAGACTCTTCTGTACAAAGCTATTGTAGAATAAAAATCCTTTCTTTTTCTTTTTTTAAATAAATTAATGATATACATTTTCTTATTTAATAATTCTACTTTAAAAAATGATTTAACATTTTTTTATATAAATTTGGGAAAAATGTCTTTCTTATTTTGAAGATTTGCGAGACATGACAAAAAGCAAGTCTTTTTTAACAACCATTGTTTATTAAATTTAATATTTCAGTATCATTTGTCAATACACTGCATTTTGAAAACAGCAATTATTATTCATAGTATGACATATAAAGATTTCATTTACCAAAAAATTATTATATTCATATTTCATATTATTCCTACATGATTTTTGAAATATTTTACAATATTATTAACATTCAACTCATTTTTTTTCCAAATTTTTAATATTAATTTCAACTTGTTTCTAAATCTTTGTTGCTTTTATTTTTATTTAACCAATCTTCAGCTGCTAAGATAAACACTGTATAGAATGCAATTTTTAAGCCCCAGAAATTATTTTTTCTGATTTCATGGTATTTAGTTTAGTAGCTAAACTTTGAAGTGACTAAACATACTATGATAAAAAGCAACTAAATAAATGAAAAAACAAATCAAAATCAACTTTAAAAACTATAATAACCAAAATACTTCATCTCAATTTGAAACATTTATCTTCTATTTTTATTTCTTCATCGTTAACAGTTACTCCCATTTCTAACATTTTGTCCCTTTGCATTTCTTTATGCATTTTATTTCTACTTTGTAGATTGTTCCTGATCGTCCTAATTTCCATACAGCTGACTATATCTTCCCGGTTGGTTTTTGCAGTACTCGACTTTATGTCAGCACACGAAGTCTTGAGCAGAAATGTCTCTACACCTGCAGTATTTCTGATGATGGCAGTGGACCCCTGGTAGGCTACAAAATTTTGTAAATCTCTACTCAGGAATTTTTCTTCAAAAAGTAAAGTTTTACCATTATATATTCAAGTATAGTGCGACTTTTTGTGATTTGTTTTTTATGCAAAATATAGGAGATTGCATTTGACACAGGTAATTCTTTTTGAAGAGATTAAAAATCATGCACTTTTCAGTGATTGGTTACACTATACACAGGTAAATTTTTCTGGATGGGTCAAAATTCATGAAAAAATTCAGGGGTCACACTATACATCACGTCAACTTATACACAATACGGTATGTTCACTTTATGATAACATCATGGATGGCCTGTAGATATTGTTATTAACAAATCTAATTATTTACTCATCAGAATTATTAATTATTCTGATTTTTCACAAGATGTGGAACAATGACATTTTATTTCAACTAAACGTATTTCATTTACAAAGCTTTTCATTTATATTCCTATGATTCTTCTTATCAGCCTATATTCAAGTCATACAGCCAGCACCAATTGCCAGAACACCAAAGCTAAGCAACAATGAGACTACTCTCTACTTAAACAAGGAACCACATTACTGTAAATTAACCGAGGCCTGTTTTTCTTTCAAGCAACATTAATCTATTTCTGGTGCATTTATTATTCATAACACTTGAATGATGCAGATTTTGCAAGTATACAATAGCATGAGTGCTGCTCAGTGTTCTAGTCTTGAATCCAAATTATAATTAATTTCTTCCTCACAGAATTCTTTTTCAGTCATTTTCTTTAAAATGGAAGAATTTCATCTCCTTTGTTCTATGAAAATTTCTTATGTTAATTTAAATGTGATTTCTCAAAAAGATGAATTCAGAAAAAATTCTTTATACCTCGATACTATTTCAAATAAAATATATTATTTATATGATGGTTGTTGAAAAATTTTCAACCTGATCAAAAAGCCATTCAAAAAAATTCTTTTGTTTGGTTAGAATTTGGGAAGTGGGTGAAACAAAACTTTTCAGTATATTTTAAAAGTTGTTTTAACTTTTTACTGATTTAATTGAAAGGTAATTTTTGATAAAAATGAAAATGTGAAATCATTTTAGATATTATGTGATAAATATACTGCAAAAATTTTAAAAGAATTATTTTATGACATTGTTCAACATGAAATTAATAATTTTGTTCTAAGTTTAATCTTTTTAAAATCAATACTGTTTTTAATATTTTATTATATAGTATTATTTATTAAATATTCTATAAAAATATTTAATTTCATTAATTTTTACTAGATTAATTTATATATTTAAACCTTAAGTTATGATTTATTTTATACTTGTATATGTTCAAGCTTGGTTACAATGGAACTCAGTCTATGAGAAATATATCTTCTGCATTTGGGAACAATGTTGTTAGTGAATGAAAAGTTAGATTTTAGTTTTAAAACTTGTAAGATTTCAGATTATAAAACTACAAGAAGATTTGAAGGCTATAATGGAAAATGATCCCAAAACCTCAATCAAAGAACTTGAGGTACAAAAATCAAAGTTCTGATGGTCTGCATTAACCAAACAATATGATATTGATCTTTTTTATATTGTACTAGCCATTGGGATGAAAAAATGGATTTTAGATAATAATTGTAGATCCTCACAGTAGATGGATGCAAAAAAAGTGAAAAATTCAGTTGAATTATGTTATCATCTTTGTAAAACATTTTTCCTATGCATTTTCAATAATACTGAACAACCTCATAATTCAGGAAGAAATTTGATTTTCATATTTTATACTTATATAAATTCAAGGCTATATTGGATATGAAGTTGCAAAGAATTCAGCACTTGCGGTCAATGCTGTTAATGAATAATGAGTTTTATAAGGTTTCAGTATAGAAAACCAAGAGAGAAATAGACAAAATGTAATATTTTAAAAATGATCCTAAAACCTCAATTATGGAATCATTCCAAATTAGTTAAGAGTGACTTGCAAGAAAAAAAAACTTGTTAAATTAGTTTTGTTTGAAATGAATGAGGCAAAAAATTAAAGAAGGCTGGCATTAATCATATCCAAGAATTTTTTTTTTTTTTTCCATGTTTTTACTATTAATGTTGAAAAAAAGTGGATATTATATAATAATTATAGATCCTTTCAGTAGCTGGATGCAGATGAAAAATAAAAAAATCAGTTGAATTATGTTACTATCTCTGAAAGGTTATAGTGAATGTTTGGTGATACAAGAGTTGTTTTGATTCAATGTAGCTTCACTTAATGTTATGAAATAATTAATGTAAAAAGACCAGCTCGAAATTGTGTGGACAAAACTCAAGTTTGATGAATAGAAACATTGTCATTTTGCTGCATGATAGTATGCTGTAAAAATGGTGGCACTAAAGGTGAAAGTTGAACTTTTTATTGCCTATTTTTTATACACCTGATCTTTCTTTTGAAGATGTTCATTTTCCCAAGCCTCTTGATCACACTTCCTTAAAAGCAAGAACTTCTCCTATCAAGATTAAACTGAAGAAACCTCCACTGAATTTATTGATATTTTGAATTCAGAATTATTTAGTAGAGGAACTGATGACTTACCACCAAAGTAAATGTACCTAGCAAGAATATTTTCATTGAATAAATCATTTTTGCTCTGCTGTTTTTTTTGGTGGGGGAGGGGTTGTATGTTTAAATAAATTTGCATATTGAATAATTTGTCAACTACATTTACATATGATTTAATTTGATTAAGTAAGAAATATATCTTCAGGATTATTTTGTAAATTTTTTGTAATTTAAAAAATTCATTTATTAATTATATGATCACAAATATGCTTTGTTATTTGTTACAAGAATTAAAAATAACTTCTGTATTTTTCCTAGTTTGAAATCTCAGCAGATGATCAGAAACAAATAATCAGTGATAGTGATCCATCAGAATGTCACAGCAAATTATTGCAACTGATTAATCAAACCAGGTGAGTGGGTAGGGAGCAGTATGTCACTTTTATTCCCTTCATATAATTTTTGAAAATGTAGTTTTCTTGTTCTTTTAGAAATTTGATTTTCTGCTGCATTTATATCTGCCTTAAACTGTTTTTTGCATGTTTCCCTTTTTATACTTTGCCATGCATTTACCTTAATCCTACTACAAAAAACACTCCCTGTTTATATATTTTTCACACATTTTTATATCTGATGTTTAAATTATCTTAATCTTGATACTTTTTCCATGCTCTAAATAAAATTCTATTTTATAATATATTAAACTAGAGACTTAATTGTATCATTAAAAATCATACAGAAAATATAATGAAAGCAATTTCAAAATTAAATAGTGCTGTCATTTTCATTATTTTATTTATCTGTCTATATCTCTAAGATGAGGTATTATGATTATTTACATTATTCGGACTGTTATCCTCATCCTCATTGCCATATTCACAACATTTTGTCCATTGTACGCTCAAGCCTTCTTCGGGTGATTGAAATTTTAAATGGAACTCTTTATTTCATCCACTGAGGTAGATTGTTCTAGATCCACATACCATGCCTCTTCCAGATGTCTCAGTTATTTCTCTTTAACTCAACTTTCCAAGTAAAGTACTATAATTTTATTGGTATGTTTAAAGTACTATGATATAAAAAAGAAACCTTGAATCTGCTTTCATTTTAGGCATTTGAGGATTATCAATTTCCTTGTTTTAATAAATATTGTATGCACATAATTAGACCATAAGAATGTCTTTCTTTTTTGCATGAACCCTTCATTATTTTCATTTTTTTTCAATGTCTACAGATTGAGGAATTTGCTTTATGCCATTTGACTTTTACAAAAGTCATTAATACAGGCTTCCCCTACTCTGTAAAATATTGTAAAGTGAAGAAGCAATCACCATTAATTTATATGAAAATGATTTTTGAACATTCCCAGACCCCCCCCACACACACACACCAAAAAAGGTAACCTTCTACTTACAGTTTTCTTAAGAACCAGTGTTTACAAAAAAAGTAAAAGTAATCAACATTTTACAATAATCAATTTATTGTTGATAAAAATTGCAATTTACCTGCACAACAAGTCCACAGTTTTTGTTTTTGTTTTTTTGTTTTTTCAAATAACATTTGTAGTAATTCATTATCTGAAAATATATTTGCATGAAGCAGTTAAACAATTTTGATCCATCATAATTTAAAAAATAAGATAATGGTAAAAATAACAAATGCAAATCATATTTTCTACAATATAAAATAAAAACTTTACACTAATACCATTAAACTCAGCTTTTATATTTCTTGTTTATTTTCTTCTCTTGTTTACATCCTAATCTACACTGACATTTCATAAAACAATTTTTGACTTCTCAAAATTGTTTTTTTTTTTTTTGCTTCTATCTTTGAGTCATAATTACAGCATGAAACATATATGAGATGTTAGCCAGAACTTCAGGGAATTGAAACAGTTTAATCAATCTCTCCAGTTGACCAGTACTCTCTTTGTATTTGATACTGCACATTTTTGAAAATCACTTCATTTTTTTTTTTTTCTTTTTTTTTTTTCACCATGACTTTTTCTTTGAGGTAACTATTTTATGCTTCAAGTTCTCTGAACTTTTGAGTAGTATCCTGTTTATGGAATTATAGAAAAAAAACAATAGCATACAAGTGGATGCTAAAATGTTCTTGGCCCAACCAAAGCCATATACAAAAATATTATTTTGGGAAGTTTTCTGCATCTCCTTTATATGGACAAAACCTTATTCAATAATAAAATTATACCCACTGTTTTTACAATGATTCATTTAAGAAACAAAGACATCATTTTTTAATGATAATATTGAAAAAATGCTTGTGTTATTTGAATAGTTCATATATTAAATTTTTTATTTCAGATTTTTAAATTAATAATTTAATTGAAAAAGAATATAAATGTATACTATTTCCTTACTTTATTTATATTGTAGATTCCATAAAATTTGCATTTGGTAGGTATCATGTCTAACATTCAGTAAACATTCAAACATACAATGAAAACAGGAACAAGAAGAGTATTATAGATTATTTTGGTTATCTCATTTTCTATCCTGATCTTCAAATATTATATTTTATTTATTCTATAAATATAATAATTAGGAATCTGAATTGAAATTGCTTTCCTGAACATATCAGATATGAAAATTTGGTCTTGTTTTGTTTTCAGAGGTTATGAGATTGTTCCAACCCGAGGGTCTGGGCCTGAATTTTTTGGTCTGTCACATCCTATTGTTCAGAATCTGATTCAAAGCTGTCCAGGTGCACGCAAATGTACAGATTATAAGTGGATAAAATTTGAAGTCAGTAAGACAGAAAATATCAGCAGCTTTCCACCAATTGAATATGAAAATCCAACTATCTCAGTAGAAGCATTGCACTCACAACACACTTTCACTCAGGGTAAGGAAAAGATTACTATTTTCATCCTCTTTCTATTAGTTGCTTTTTTGAGGGACAGAAAATTTAGTTTAGAATTTTAGTATGAAAACAAATTTCTAATCTTTGTCCAATTGTGCCATCAGTATTACAGAAACATTAATGTTTTTTTATTATTATAGTAAGTTGGTTGGCATATCAACCTCTATAGGTTATATAATGTCAAAACCTGAGTATTTTGAACACAATTTTATGGCTTCAACTAAATATTGTATTTGTATGCCTTCAACTACATATTGTATTTTGCTATAAAATGTATTGTTGGTAAATTTACTATAAATAAGTATTGGTAATTTCTTAATATAAAAATGTATTTTTATACTTTCATAGTGTTATGTTTTTATTTGGGGATTCACTATTTGCTCATTATAATAAATAGAAATGGATAAAAATGAATTTGTATAATTAGAGAAGGAAAATGTTTAAACTTAGATGTTGAGAATTGCTATTTGATAAATGCTGGAGCTCTAAACAAAACCTTTTTGTCAGGGACAAATGAGTCATTAATATTCATTGAATGTTTTTGGACTAGTCACTTTTGTTTTCCATTCTCCATTTATCTTCAGGTGGAATTTTTGACTGATATCAAGGTTGTTAGTTTGTTAATTATTTTGGATTATGTCTTTCCAGAGAGAATGTATTTTTACACTTCAACTTTTAGATAATGCTATATGGGGGCAGGGAGTAATGTTTTTATAACCTCAATTTTCATCTTTTGATTTTATTTTTAGAGATGGCTGGGAGTACAAGAGTGAGACCAGCTTCTCCCAAAAAATGACTTAAGGAACATCAGAAAGCTGTAATTCATGGAGAAACCCTCAAATTAAGTATGGCTGATTATGGGTGAAGGGAGCGTGCATGTACATCAACTGCATCAGTGTACATCAGTGCAGGAGTGTGCATCAACTTGATAGAGACCAGTAATGGAGAATAAGATGGTTGAAGAAATTGGCACACATACTATGCTTAACTCATTTGATCAGTAGGCCAAGCATAGATTATATCGTAAAAGCCACTGATCAAAAAAGAATAAAAACTGAATTTGAGGGTGCAAATACATAGCTCAAAAGTGTAAATGCTGATGGAATTCACTTAGTTCACCAGAAAGTCATGGATTTCGATACATGGATCTAGGGTGAGAAGTTTCAAAAGCATGAAAGCAGAGGCATTCAAATGTGATATGTATGGGAATGGTATCAAATGCCCCTCTTGGAACATTTTAAAATACAACAGACATTAAAGGAAAGAGTATAAACTAATATTACCATTTGTAAATCATGAATGACTTTTGAAAGCCATCATTTTGTCTGACAGAAACTTTTATTTTTTTCTCTTTCAAAAACTTTATTTTTGTGAATAAAAATAGATGAAATCTTTTTAAGACATTATCAGAATGAATCTGATTAATAAAGGATCATGTATTCCACATTATAATAATAAAAGAAATTATAAATTGTCAGTCTATACAAATTGTGTCAAGGATCATCCTTCATCTAAACAGTGACAATACTTTATTAAAAGATTACAAAAGTTTTTAAAACTGTCAATTTTCTGTTTATTGTATTTTAAGTATTTTTGTTTTATCACATTTTAATTTTACGTTTTCAGGGCTTAAGAAACAATTAACTTTTTTCATTTATTTGGTTTTATTGAAAGTTTTAAAATTCATACTTTCATGTGTAAAGATATTTGAAGTAAACTCTTACAATTCATTTAAACTACTATCTTCACATTTCCTTGCCACATTTATCCAATACATTCTTTGGAAATGATCAGGTGTTTTATTTTTTTATTCCATTAAAATTTCTACAAAATTTCTTTACATACAAATGCAATGAATTCTTGACTAATGAAAGTTTATCATTTAACGTTTTTGATCCTTTGTTGCTAGTTGATAAGTTTTAAAAACATTGATGTTTCATCCCAAATCATATAAGACTTTCAAATTGAGTGTGGCAAGCTGCTTACTGGCAAAAAAAACAGTTATTTTCATCTCAATTGTTAAGTCCAGTTTAGCTATACTTGATTCAATACTTTCTGCAAGAGAACCTAAAATGAAAAGTAAATGAATTTAAAATATGTTCAATTTCTTTTAAGAGTTTTGTTTTTAAATAATATGAGGATCAGCTGGAAAGTTCAAGTGTACCTGAATACAACAGCTGGCCAACATTATCAGCTTTTCAGTATTTGAAAGTATTTTTTTATCTTATTTTCTAAAATTTTCTTTATTAAAATATTGATTTAATATTTTTGTAATTTCTACCAAATAAATAAAAACATTAAAAACTTCATTTTATGTCCATCTTATCTTTCAGCACTGATATTTATTTTTCTAATACAGTGTATGTTTACATAAGTAAAATGATTTCTGAATAATAGAAGAAAAAACATCACTAATAACTATTAAGAACTAGAAGAGATGAGAGATTTGTTCATTGTATTTTTAACCAGAATAATGTGCAAATTCATATATTGACCATTTCACAAATTTAAAGTTAACATGCTATTTTACCCATTCAAGGAATAGAATAATTTTAAAGCTTGATTTGTTAATTTGAACAAATAAGACAAATATATCTAACAGGCTTTCTGCCTCAATTGCACAAAAATAAAAATAATATCTCATTTTAACAGATATATTTACCAAAATTACACAAGAATATGTTGTAATACTAAAGAGTAAATTTATTCAATAAAATCACCATTGACTTCAACCATGGCCTTCAGAATCTCCTGCAACACTTTTGGATGATCTCAATGTTTAAGTTGGTGAATGCTGCCATAATCCTTGCCTTCAGTTCATCTTTGGTGTTACAAGGAGGTTGCAGTCTTGAGGATTAGGTGTAAGGGGTGATAGGGTTTCAGAAATTGTCTGACAGCCAAGATTGCTTGTGTGGCATGGTGCAGAGTCCTATTGCCAAACACAGGGTCTTTCAGCAGCCACCCTCTTGACCCAGAGCAGCACTATCTTCTCAAAGCACTTGATGTAGGCTTCTGTGTTGAGTCTGAGCTCACCAACAAATTCTAGAGTTCTTTTCTTATCAAAATGATCAGTTTTCCAAGCTGCCATACCTTTATAATCATCATTAGACTCATCCAACTCTTTCCGAATCCTCTGCAGATTGACACCCAAACATTAACTTCCAGTGCAAATGCCAAGCAATACAACATGCCATTTTGAAATTTCTGGCAGAGTGAATTGTGTCATGGTGCTCTTTTTCTGAGAGATGATGTCCAACTGTGCCATTGACAGAATCAAAATCTATCAATGTGCTTGTGCAAAATTAAAAATGTAAAATAGCGACAATTTACCCATCGCACCCTATATATTACTGTAAATTAAACTTGTTTGGTAAAACAATCTTGTCACAAACTGCTCCACTGTATCAATTGGAATATTATACATTTACTGCTGTGTTTGTGTATAATGTATTATTTATAAGGTTCTAGTATTTTAATTATATACTTTTAAATAATGTTTACAATTTAAATTTCTGAAATGTTTTACTAAATGTAAAAATAGCTATAGTACAGTTATTAATAGAGATTTAAAAATCCGTTGAACAAATGATAGCTATATTGAACAACATAAAAATAGCCAAGAAAACAAGTTTATCTATTGGGCTAACAACTAAGTTCCCATCATTTTTTTAAAAGGTTTAATAAAAAATAACAACTAATTAATAAATAATGTATTCTTCCTTGTTGTATACAATTTCTTCCCAACGTTCAACAAGATTTTCAATACCTCGTTGGTAGAAATCACCTTGTTTCAACTCGAAAAATTCATCCAACCAAGCTCTCAATTCTGCATCAGTATTGAACCAAACTATGCACATAGCATTGTAAAGAGGTAGAAATCCGTTGGTGCCAAATCTGTAGAGTACGGAGGATGTAGCAGCCCTTCCCAGCCATGCGTTTGAATGGCTTCCCTGGTCATATTGGTGATATGAGGGCGTTGTCGTGCAGCAAAAGAATTCCATGCTGATGATTAGGTCTTTCCTCTTGAATAGCTGTGATGAGTCGTGCCATCTGTTGGACATAGAGTTCTGTGTTGAGCATTTGGTTCCATTCAAGCAATTCATAATGGATAATCCTTTTCCAGTCCCACCATATGAACAACATCATTTTATGCGGATCTTGTTTCACACACAGTGTCACTTGATTACTGGGGCTAAGCCATTCCTTGTGCTGCTTCATATTGATGCACAGGCACCATTTTTCATTGCCAGTAACGATTCAGTAAAGAAATCATTGCTTGAGTCCATTAGTTGAGCAGTGATGAGCAAGCAAACCAGCAGAGATTTTGGCTCAATTTTTGTTGTTACTTAAAGCATGCAGAACCCGTGCTCCACACTTCTGAACCTTTTCCATTGAGTGATATAGCAGTGTAGGAGCATTCCATTTTCTCTGCCAATTCCCTTGTCATTTGATGAGAATTTTCAAGCAAAAGTTGTTTTAATTGCTCTTCATCAAACTCAACTGGATGGCCAAAATGATCTTTAAGATCAAAATTTTCATTTTTGAACTTGACATACCAATCACAAGCGGTTCTTTCAGCTATGGCATCCTCTCCATACACAGCACAAATGTCGCGAGCAGCTTTTTTCGGGCTTAGAACCTTGATGAAAAGCAAAAAGAAGGAGGTATTGAAAATGCTCATTTTTGAACTTCTGATAGGGTTAAGCATTAGTAAAACAAAGATTGATAATAATTTATAAGTATAAAAAACAAAATTACTTCTGAAACTCATCCAAACTTTTCCTTCATGTTTCATAGTCTAAAAAGAGGCCAAGATTCTTACACTTGATCTTTTAATATTCTGATAATATAACTGTTTCTTCTGAATAGCTCTAAATATATCTGGATTTCAATTCTTGAGTTAATACTGAGAAGTAAAAGACACTCAGCATCAGGGTTGGTAGATTTGGATACTTTTAGAAGCACAACATTTTGAAGATTACTACTTTTGGAGCTACTTTCAAAATAAGTTAAAATAGTGAAAAGAAAGTTAATTAAAAATTTAATCATACTGGGCTTACATATACAGTCCAGTATGACAAGTTTGCTACACACATAAGCAAAACATGCTTATATACATTTCAGTTGTTGATAGAAAAAAGATAATGATGTTAATTTTGAATACAGAAGACAAAACAGATAAATAAGAACCAGTGTGAAAATATAGAGAAACTAAAAACCAATAATTCTTCTTCAAACAGAATACAAGCTTTTCCTACTTATAATACAATCCATTAAAATTATTTCCTTTATTTACTGCTAAAATCTTAGTACACCAGGTTATAAATATTTTCTAAGGCAGTAACTTTTCAAATATTACAAATATTTTATAATTATTATAACATTTATAGATATAAAATAGATAATAGCTTTGTTATTCAGTCAAGATATGAGTATAACAACCAAGACAGGCATGCTGGTCCAAATAGCAAGGCATATACTAATGATAATCTGTCATCTCAAAAATTATAAGATAATAGCAAATTCAAATTAACAATTTTTATAGAGGAGTTGTTTTCTAAAACTCCCAGCATAATAAATATTGTAATTTGCAAAAGAAAAAATAGAAACATTATATTTATGTTATTTATATGATTTTCCTAATTCTGTATAGTTAATTTAAAATGTGTGTGGATTGTTGGAAGAATTATCTGCAAAATTGTAAATCTTTTGTTATAAAAGTAATAATGACCATTATTGTAATTTCATAATACAGTGACTATCAAATTTTGTTGAAGTTTTGAAAGTTAAATAATCTGTAAATAAACATACTTTGCTTTGCAGAACCGTCAAAATCAGCTTCCTACACCTTTCCTTTGATAATTAAGGAAAATAATAAATGAAGGACAATGAAATATTTTTTTCTAATTTTGACCAAATCACTTAAATCTGTTGATTCTGAAGATGTACTACCCACTTCACTGAGATTTGGTGTTATAAAAGAAATTATTTCAATCTCATAACACATGACTGATGATAATATTTAAAAAGTATCAAGTAGGAATAACCTTTTAAGATTGTTATTGCTGTGCAGTTCTCTTCATTTTATTTTCTGTTTGTCTTCTATTTGGAATGGATGTGCAGTTGTTGTAATGAATAACTTGGAATGAGAAATCAGCAGGTCATGTTCAAATTAGTCAGGTTCATATCATTCACTTGGGAAAGGTATGAATCCATCTCTTCCTCCTAGCTATGGGTTAAATAGTAGGACTTGTATCTAGAAGAATCATTGTTATTCTTAAAAACATTGTTAAAGTAATATTCACTTGCAAAAATGGATTATTCTTACAAATGAAAAAAATATATATTTCAGCTTCAAATAACCCATAAGGAATTGATAAATCATAAAAAGTAAAAAGAAAAAAATCAATTTATTTCGAATACTGATGTTTTTTTTTTTTAGAACACTTCATTTGTACTGCATGCTATCACTTGTGAAATAATATTTTTATTTAAAAAAATGTTTTGCATCGCAACATAGAAATTTCTATGTTTCGGAACTTAAATCTGTTCCATTATCAAGCAATGTTGGGTAACTTTTGATGAAAATGATTAACTTTTGAAAACAGATCCACTTTGAAAGATTTCATGTTTTTTCAGTAACTAAAAGCCAGGCCTTTCACTGGCATGTTTTTAATGGAGGGTAGTCAGTAGGATTGCAAATAAGAATTGGTTCACATCATTTTCATGGGGTTGGGGAGCAGAAGTTTTTCTGGGGGTTGTAGGGTCAGTTTATCCAGATTAAAAGTGAAAAATTAAAATTCGAGTGAGTGTTGTGCCCACGAATACAACATAGTGCGAAGAAATGATTCTTTTTACATAGGCAAAAAAGAAGACCAGATTGAAATAATCATATATTTATGTACACATTAACATTTGTTTTTACATGATAAACATTGTGTTTGTTCTGGTTGTAAAAAATCAAAAGTTCAAAAACTCAAATGTACAACAAAATTTTCCATTTCTTAAAGGGCAGTTCATAAAGTCATAGGCTTTGGTCAATATAAAGTATGTATATATATATATATATATATATATATATATTTATGTGTCTGAAGCACATTTTAATGGAGTGTATGCATGGCTACTGACTGAATGTGTGTGTGTTGGTGAAGCACATTAGTAGGAACATATATGTGTGTGAGCACTAATACGTGAAAACTGATTACAGTGGTTCCAAAAGGAAATGGGCATAGAGATAGATGATCAGACTTACATTTTTCCATGGCTATGAATATTTCTTTGAGTTGTGCAAATATTCCTTTGAATGGTGTATAGTCATCGCTGACTGAGATGTTGTCATCTGGTTGGGTGTTTACAGATTCAGCCATTTGTCATTGACAGGTGGTCCATGTCCAGCTGCTGACTGTGTTTTTGCTCTGTGTGTTTTTATTGCCCCCGAGGCTGATGTATATATAGTTATCCTGATCATGTGATTGGATCCAAATGAAAGCTTTTCAGTTTGGTCAGGATAGCACCCATTGACCAGTTCATTTGGAGTTCAAACGTACAGATGTAGTTGCAAGCATAGCACACGACTGTACTATCCAATCAAATTCCAGAAACCACTTATTTAATTTTGGATCCTATTTTTTTACAGATTTGTACAAAAGTTTTTGTGTTAGTGATTCTGATTCTATTTATGTGCGGGCATTTCTTATTTATTTGCATTTCACCTAGTGGTTGTAAAATATAGGATTTTATATCCTATAGGGTAATCCGCTACTTATAAGCTTCCAATCACTGATTATATTTATTATTGTTTAGCAAAAATAAATTTTCTTTGTAGAAGTATTTTATTAAAAAAGTATTTTATTAAAAAAGTGAAATGAAAATAAGACATGAATAGATAGAACAAATAAGATGATTGGAAAAGAAGGTAAATTACAAGTCACAACTGTAGAGAAGAAATGACAATAATTGTAATTGTTTATATACTTGTAGTTATTTTGTACCTGATGTGTAACACAGAGTGATAAAAACTGTATTTTAGCCCCTCCCAGGAGAATAAGCCCGACACATTAAATGTAGTGAGTATAGACAAAAATTGCTTAGTCTCTTCAACAAAGACAATCTTCTTTTAGTGCAATGGAGAGGTGCTACGCCGGGGTGGGTATTGGAATCCCCTAGAACAAGGGTCGTTTCATTTTATGTTGTTTCACGTGAAAGAGAACCACAACTGATGTCAATCAAAAGGCTGCCTCCAAATCCTGCTAAATTTTGCTTTTGTGCGTACGTTGTGAAGTGAACTGAATGTTACTTTTTTAGTAATTTCTTTGATTAAAAAATAAAACTTCTTGCAATGAAAAAAATCGTATCATTGTTTTTAACTAACACACACGATTATCGTAATTTGACATTTATTGATTGTCTAAAAAAAAAGAAAAGTAAAATAATTAGCAAGTTGCTTGCACAAAAAATTAATTAAAAGATAATATACGAAAATAACTACCTACATTTTTTCCTTCTAGCGATTTTCTTTGGCTAAAAAAAGTAAGTGAACTACGAAACTTTTTATTTCTTATTGCATTTATTTCATGACGTTCTTTCAAGACAGCTAGCTTGTTCTTTAATGCTTATTGGCTATTTTTAGGCATGGAAGTTGACCTCAATAAAATTTAATTTTTGTCTTTTTAAAATTCAACTAATTCTTTTAAAATTTTCATTTATCACAGAAGTATTTTTTCAACTGAACAAATACACGTTTTTCTTTTTTTACACTAAGAAAAAAAAAAGAGTATTTTCCTTTCAAAAAGTTTTAGTAACTTTAAGAAATTTTGTTTTAGTTTTATATTCGTAACACGTTTTTAGCTGTTAAAGCGCAAAAACAAGATTTGAAGGACTTTATGAAATAATGATCGCGTTGTATAGTTAATCTCGAAAATGCAAGACAACTTATGACTAAAAACTAAGAGAATTCAATAAATCCACGAGTTTATTATACTACGCACGGATTAAAAATAAAACTACTTCCCCTTTTCTAGTGTTTTTAATTTACTTACTACTACTACTACTACGACGACTGTAACTTATTAAAGTCTTCTTTTTAAATTTGTGGTTAGCAACGTAATCTTTATTTCACGTGTTTATACGCAAAAAAACACTGAAACATGAACTTCTGGTTCTAATTATTTTAATTGAATTAACTTTAACATTTAAATAAATAAAAAAATCGTAAAAAAGAAAGAAGTGTAATCAATTCGTCATACTAAAATCTCCTAGTTCACATTAAATAAATGTTATTTAGTCGAGAAACATAATTAAATGTGTAAAGTAAAGAGTTTTTTTTTTATTTTATAGAAGCACACGAATTGCACATGGATTAACCCAAAAGTTGACTCACAAAAATCAATGGCCTTGCAAGTGACACAACACTTCTAGAAAAAGCGTAACTTTTTTCTTCTTCTTTTTCATGATTAAGTTCTTTTACAACGCATTTTAAAACTAGAATAAAGTTTAGTTTTGGAATAAAACCTCACTCTGAAACGGAGAAATTGCCGATAATAATTTATTTGAGGAATCTCCAAACTAAATAATTGAACTTATTAATTCTAGAAAGGGGACTTTAGTTTGTTTATCACCGCCCGCATTCTCTGCACCTCTTGGTCTCCGAATAAACGGCTCAGGTCAGTGTTTGAATCTCACGTCTTTTTCTTTCTTATCTATTACATTAGAAATTAACTTGTTGTAATTACTAGTTAGATTATAATTAAAAGCTCAATGTTTGTGTTTGAAATATTTGTAATGTCGATAAGTGTGGTTATGATATAAAATAGTTATACTATACTCATAAACAATTATTTGTGTATGGAAGAATATAAGTACCATAATTAGATTGTCCTAAAACTTTTAGATCTTTACATTCACCATTCCGGAGTGTAAATGAATATATATATATATATATATATATAAAGATGTGTGTGTGTGTGTGTACACATCAAGAATTAATCATAGTGGTATAATATTCTAGGCGTGTCTTCGTCTGCAATTAAAAACTTTCAAGTTGTATTGTAACTTTATGTTGAGAAACTGGCATTCCTATTTGTTATGGAAAATTGTTGATCTTTAAATTAATAAAACATTACTTTTTTAATTGATTTGTTATGTTGAAATTTCAGGTAAAAAGATTTTACTTACTATGACTTTCAAAATCAAAAATGATTTTAAAAACTCTCTAAATAAGTCTAAATGTCTTATTTTAAAAAGTGAAAAATAATAATTTCGAATCATTTTAGAAAATTGATATTGAATGTCCGAATGATGATGTCATTTGGTTCTTGTGAGCATCAAAAGTCAAAACTCATTTCAATTTGACAATAACCATCTTAAAAAAAATAGTTATTCTTTGCAAAACTTCGGTGAACATAAAAATAAAATTCAACACTAAAAAAGTAGATACCTATTGTTTATTGTCAGGCTTTACTTCACTGTTTATGTTTTTGAATACGAAGTTAAAAATTTAAAGAAGTACCAGGGTACTTATTTCGTATCCTGCTTTCCCTAGCCAGCTTTTTTTTTTTCTTTTTTAGCATAAATCTTTAAAAAAATCAATCATATTTATTTTCCGCTGGAAAGAATCGGATGATTTTTTTACTACATGTTAAGAAATAACTTCGATTGTCCAACTTATAACTAAGTAAAAATATTTAAAATTTAAATTGAGGGACGTTAAACAAAATGGGGTTTCTTAACTTTTAGATTTCGTTCATTTTGGAGTTCGCCTGCTTCACTTCTCTAACTGCTTGAGGTAAGGGGACGTCTCTTTATAACGAAAGTTTTCTTTCTAATGATAACACGTGTCACCGGCCCGGCGATGGAATGCATGATAGTTCACTTAGCACTCGCTTTATTACCCTGCTCTAGTCATTCCACAAGTGGGAATCTACAGTGTTCATGTGTTGTTGAATTAAGATACCGTTATTCTCTAAAGGAGGAAATCAATAGTAAATTTCTTCTGTGACTGATCAAAAAATTGTATTCGCTAACCGTTATATGTTTATTTATGTGTTGCAGTGCTCTTTACTTTTCGTGTGTATGAAGGACCAGAAAAACAAATTGTAGAGAGAAATGAAACCTGTACTTATTTTTTTTTGTTGCATTTCAACATGCTTCCGTAAAAATGAAGTTGAATACAATTTTTGAAGACAGTGACACGGAAAGTAATACGAAATAAAAGGGAAAATAAATAAATATGCATTTTTGTTTCTTTTTTTTTTTTATTATCTCGCATGAAAGTTCAATTATTTTAAAATGTCAGCTGATCTTTAGAATATTAAAAGAAAAAGTGTCAAATAAAAGTTAAAATTTATTGTTGTCATAAGAATTGAATAAGAATAATATATTTTCCCTAGAAATTTTTAAATCATTAAATTCTAAAAGGGAATATAAAATAAAAGATGAAATTGAAAACTAGAGGATTAATGATCCTAATTTTTTTTGTTTTGGGTAATTACAGTTTTTAATTAGTGTAATGACAAGCATAATTTTATTTTTATGAAACCAAATTAATAGTACTTGCAATACTGAGGAACACACCTCTGCCTCGATGACATTACTTCATAACAGTAAGGAACAGAAAAATAGATTGGAATTGAACATCCATCTTATTATAAATAATAAATTTAAAGATGTATTGACCTTATTCAACTTTTATCTTTTAAAGGAAATTGAGTAAACAAATTAAAAAAAAGTAATTATACAACTAAATTATGCAAATTCAGAATTCTCCACAAAAAGCCAATATGCATATTCATTAAGTATCAACTTTTAAAAATGATGGTAATATTCATTAATAATATTTCAAGAATTTATTATACTGAGAATAAAAATTTATTTAAAATTTTTATCAATTTAACATAAAAAAACTGTCAAGAATTTTTATTTTTTTTGCATGTCCTTCCTTAGTATTTGAAATCAATGACAGACAAAATTATTAAATAAAAGGGAGGAGTTTATGCTTTATAAGATCTGCTTCATTCATCCAATTGAAATATGTGATAAACGTTTTTTTTTTTCATTGATCTTTGTTCATAGCTACTTGACAACATCACTTACCATGCAATTTTTTATTAGCTAGCATTATTACTTTATGAAAAAATATCCAAAAAAGTAAATTCACTTTTCTTTATTGCTAGAGTATACTGAAGTATATGAACTAAAATATCAAGATCTTATTTATAACCATTCATTTTGATAAATATTAAGCATTTTTATTCTCCATAATATAAAATGAAAATAGGCAAATAACTTCTATATACATTGTCTAATATCACAAAATCTAAGATGCTCTTTGCTGGTAAGAATTACTTTATGAATGAGCAGCAAAATGAATGATATGATTTGTTAAAATTATAATCTTTTTTTTATTTATTTGTGAAAAAATATTTTCAAATAATTTCTGTCTCTACCTAATGTGTTAGTGTAAATTCATTGTAATATAGTCATACTTTCGATATTCTTAGTTTTCTGCTATGATAATATTTGAAATTATGCTCCCTACTAATCAAACATTGTTTATTTTTCAGTGTCTTTAAACTAGAATCACTTATCAACATGGTTCACATGTAGCACTTGTCAAGAATGGAGAAGTTTGTTTTTAAAGAACCATTTTACTCTGGAAACCCTCGTCCTGATATCATGGATCCGATGAACCATATGCAGTGGTTCTTGTCACATGTCAGAGAGGAACAGTTTCATTGTAATTATTGCTGGAAATATTTCATCCAGATATGCAATTTCCATATGCTTGTAAGGACACCAATAGAAGAAAACCCATTTTTTTATAAGATTTATCCACAAAACTTTATGCAAAGTTGGGATCTTCACAGGTATATGAGAGCACAAACAGGAGAAAAACCATTCAACTGCAAAATTTGTGGCAAATATTTTTTCCAAAATAGTAGTTTTCAAACACATTTAAAAACACACAAAGAAAAGCTCTACACTTGTGATGTGTGTGGAAAAGCTTATGATCAAAGTACCAACTTGCAAATTCATTTGAAAACTCACAAAAGTGATAGGTTTCACTGTGTTATTTGTGATAAGGATTTTGCTTGGAATAGTTATTTTTTAAGCCACATGAGGACACACACAGGAGAAAAACCGTTTAAGTGTAAAATATGTGGAATTGATTTTGCTAGAAAAAGCAGCATGCAAACACATACAAGAACTCACACTGGAGAAAAACCATTTCAGTGCAAAATTTGTGGAAAATATTTTGCACGAAATGGTGACTTGCAAATGCATATTCGTATACATACTGGAGAAAAACCTTTTCATTGTGAAAGCTGTGGGAAAGACTTTGCTAAATCTGGAGATTTACACCGGCACATAAGAACCCACACTGGAGAGAAACCATTTTGCTGTGACATTTGTGGGAAGGGATGTTCCCGCAGGTATATCTTAGAAAAACATCTTCGCTCACACTATGAACAAGAATCCGTCTAATTTCCCACTTATAAAATTTGGGAGTTTGATTCTGTGATGTTTTTCTTTAATTTCTTAAAAAAATGGTCAAAAAAGAAACAAAAAAAAACTTTTTTAACTGCTTAACTGTAGCTCTATCATGGCAAAATGCATTTTTAGATCACCATAGACTTCTTTGTGCTTCCTTTGATCATGGATTTTTAACAGAAATTCGTGACACATACTCAATGCCATAGAAATAATTTGAAATTTGGAAAAAATAATTACTCTTAAAATTTCAATATACTTTCTGAAATGTTATGCATGAAACTAAAACATATTTTAGGGTAATTGCGCCATGATAGATTTTAGTGTTGAAATTATGAAAACCATATAGATCAATAAACATGGACACTTTTTTTTTTTCTTTACTGTTTCAGTAAAATTTACTTTTAACAAATACTTTTTCTCTTTCATTGCTTATGGGTGTAAATCATTTTAGTCAATGTTTAATTGCACTATATTATAAAAATTCTTCTCTTAAATTTTTTTTTAAATGGATAAAAAAAAACAAAATGACCAGATTAACAATTTTACTTTCAGTAACTTTCATACCAGTATATTTTTTATCATGCTGAAGAAATTAAGTCAATGTTGTAATATATATATATATACACACACACATTTCTTAGAGCTTAAGTTTTATTTCTTATTACAAAATATATGTCCTGTTAAATCATTTCCCACAATATTAAATATCAAATTGAAAATCTTTTAGTGATATGTTTTCTGCAATATAGCACATTCACATGAATCCTGATTTTTTTTTTTTTTTTAATAATTTTCTCTTTTTCTTGACTAAATGAATTGAGGTATAAATTTTAATTACCAAATGGTTTATAATGAAACTTTTAAACTTCTTTATCAAGTAGTATTCTGAAATATATTACCACCTTCTCTACTTTTCCAGGCTTTGAAGTAAAAAAAAAATCCTGTGGATATATCTTTATGATACTTATTTATATAGCATCAAACTTTTAATATTTTTCAACTGTAAAAACTAATTAATTAGAATGAATAATCTAGTCTTGTACTAAGTACAAGACTAGATTATTATTTATACTGATTTATTTTAACTGATGTCTTGTTTTTGGTTGATTTAGACACACTTAGCAATTTCAGCCTTGAACTTTCTTCAGGTGCTTGTATTAGTTAACTTTGATTAGAAAAAAAAAAATGCTACCATTGAATCATCTTTGTGACTACAAGCATTTATTAATTTTGGTACCTCCATGAGATCGCTAAAAAAGAGCATAGCATGATGAAAAAGATGCCAAACTTGATGAAAACAAAATTTTATCGTCTAAATGTTCATATTATTATTAAGAGGAAAGATCAAAGTATTTTTGGGGTATTTTTTTACATTTTTTAATCATTCAAAGCACGTCCAAAATTTTTGTTAAAAATCTTGTTTTTTTTAAGTCAGCAAAATTGACAGATAATCATGGATAATCATTTTTTTTCCATTTTATAAAAAATGAAAATCTCATTTTGAAATTCTTTTAAAAATCAATTATCATTTTTTCAAAACTTATTTTAAGAAAATCAGAAATTATAATGTTCATTTAAAATATTTTGAACCAAGGTTAACTTAGCTTTACCGAAAAGATGTAATTTGAAAATAAAACAAAGCAGGTCATAACCTTTTGTGTCACTTGACAAGTGTTGAATGACGTATTGACAGATTACGTGATCATAATTTGTTCTACGGAAGGTGAAAAGTGAAGTTATTTAGATTTAAGTGAACAAATTATTTACCTTGTTATTTTTAAGGAAAACTTTCAGTGCTCTTTTTCTTTTCTTTATTTTTGTACTTAGCTTTCACCTTTACGTTTACGATGCTTTATGGAAAATATATTATAAAGAAATTAAAATAAGACTGTTAAGAGTGAGATTAAATTTCATAAGAAAGATATCTAATTAATTTATAGGTACCTTATGAAATTTTATCAGAAGTATACATAAAATACTATAATTTTATGTACATTTATTACATTTTACTGTGTTATTTGTATTTCCATTCATTTTATTATTAATTTTGGTATTTCATTTATGGAAAAATGTCATAATTGAGATTAATATAAAAATAAGATCATATAAATTTCATAAGATGATACTGATACTTGTAGGTACCCTTCTCAGTTGAAATTGAAAAATCAAATTAACTTCTCCATATGTGTTTCACAAAAGTAAAGGCCTTAACAGCGGAGAACAATGCTTAACTCAAATGACGCAACTTAATTGTATTCTGATTGGTCTTCCGTACTTTATAATTACAGCCCGATTATAAACACAAAATTACATTTCTTATTTACTGCAGATCTTCTGATTAGTCAAAATGATACAATTTACAACGTGCTAAAAAAAGATCTATCTCATAAGGACACTTAGGAAACCTGATGCGGCTTTTAACTAATTTTATAATATTTTAACAACTTAAATGTAAAAATCTATTATAATTAAAGAAATAACAAATAATTGTATGAAAAATTCATTTTTCATCGGAAAAATTTTTTTGCTTTCAGAAAATATTGTCCATATTCATAAAAACAACTAAAAGCAAATAAAAGCATTTGAAATTAAATAATATCTTTGTTTTATTGAGTTTTGTATGTTACAATTCAGAGCTGATTTTCAGGTAGGGGATCCAATTAAAAATGAAAAAAACATGATTTGCTTTCCTCAAAGCCTTGTGCTTTTAACTATTGTAATCACTAAACTAGACAGTATTGAACTTCTAGCGTTTTCATAAAATTAATTATGGGGGGGGGGTAATAAATATAAAAAATAATTTCTGCCATGACTTTAATAAAAAAAAACATTTATAATAATTTTGATCATCTGTGAATAGTTTCTGAAAGTTTCATTAACATCCGACAATTATTTTTATTTTTGCAAGATTTTCCAAATTAATGTGTGTCATACAAAAAAAACATGCTAAAAATTGTATATGTTATTTTACTAGTTCCGGTGATACAAAGAGAGAAGGTTTTTTTAATCAAAATTTATAATGTTCTAAAAAGAAGGAAAAATTTTAAAAAATAATTAAAAAAATTTGGTCTTTCCTCTTAATAATAACATAAGCATTTAGATGATAAAATTTTGCTTTTGTCAAATTTGGCGTCTTTTTCATCATGCTATGCTATTTTTTTTAGCGATCTCATGGAGGTATCTATATTAATTGTACGTATTTGTAAGTTCTATGCTAACAGTTCCTTCTCTCACACTTCTTGCTTGTGAAACTCTCTTCCAGCTTCTTGCTTTCTAATCAACTTTGATCTTCAAAAATTTAAATGAATGTCAATAATTTTCTCTCTTAATTCTTGTTCTCTCCTTAATAATGTCTTTTTTTTTCGTCTTATATTCTTTCAGTCACTAACCCTTTGGGTCTTAGTAGCTTTATTGCTTTACTTTGGGTGAAATGATTAAAAAAAAAAATTTACCTGAGTTGGGTTGGTGGTTCTCATAACATTTGTTATGATGTGATATTATTGGCTATAGGTGAATGGACTGACCTAGAAAACACTCACCTCAGGTTGAGATAACATTTAAATTTTAACTAGAGTGTTCCGGCTTGGATACACTTAAACCCACTGATCAAGATAAAATTGTAATGGATATGGACAACAGATGTAAATTTCTAAGTGGATATTAAGACTATGCCAAAAGTAACCACTATCTAGTCAGAGAGTCATTTTTTATGAAGCAATTTCGGGTGGTTGAGATTGATGAAAAACATCTGTTTTGTTCAGGCTTAAAACAGGATGCTGATTTGGATAATAATTTTTCACTTGAAGATAATGATTAGTGGAAATGTCGCATGTGGCCTGAAAGAAAAGAGAATTAAATATTTTTTTATCTTTTTCCGGAGATTTGATTTTTCCATAAAATAAATTCTTACAGCCATTTCTTAATGTTTTTGGCAGTGTCCAACAGAAACTAGATGATAATTTTTTCAAGTGGTAATCTTTTCCATAAAGTCTTTAATAGGTAAATGTCAGTCATTAGAGTCTGTAAGCATTTACTTAGTAAGTAGTTCTTTTTGATGCAACCTCACTCTTCTGCAGGTAGTGTATTCTAGTATGACATTGCATGTTGTCTTC